ACAAAAATCCTCACAACTGGACCAATAAGCAGCATCACAATCAATGGAGAGAAGATTGAGGTTGTCAAGGAATTCACGTTGCTTGGTTCTACAATCGATGCCAACGGTAGCAGCAGTCAGGACATTAGACGATGTGTAGCATTGGGAAAGTCAACTGCAAAGGAACTGTTTCAAGTGTTGAGGAGCAAGGATATCTCCTTGAGGACTAAGGTGCACCTGACACAAGCCATGATATTTCCAATCGCCTCATATGCATGTGAGAGCTGGACAGTGAATAAGGAAGACTGAAGAAGAGTTGATGCTTTTGAGTTGTGGTGCTGGCGGAGAATGCTGAAAGTACCATGGCCTACTAAAAGAACTAACAGATCTGTCCTGGAGGAAGTGCAGCCAGAATGCTCCTTGGAAGCAAGAATGGCCAGACTTCGTCTCACCTTGGTCATGTTGTAAGAAGGGACAATTCCCTGGAGAAGGATGTCATGCTTGGTAGAGTGGAGGGTCAACGAAAGAGGGGGAGGCCTTCAACGAGATGGATTGACATGGTGGCTGCGATGATGGGCTCAAGTATAGCAGGGATTGTGGGGCTGGCGCGGGATCAGGCAGTGTTTCGTTCTGCTGTGCATGGGGTCGCTATGAGTCGGAAACGACTCGATGGCACTTAGCAACAACAACAACAAACCTCTGTATATCCCACTGACATCTCTACCCTCCCCCACACCAGGCATTGATGCTGCTGTGACTTTGAGTTGGAAGAAAGTTTAACTCCTGTAATCCTTTTGAAACAGTGAATGGCTCCACAGATAAGAGGATTGCCCAGAAATTAGACTAGGAAGACATCAGTAAAATGAAGGGTAGCAGTTTTATTAGAAGGATGATCAGTGAAGAAAACCAAACAGACTAACTCAGAAAATATGAAGAGATTTCATTATGGCAGGAGTTCTAACTCATTTATCCAGTGAGATAAATGAATTCTTTGTTTCCATGCTACTCCAGTTGCCCCATCTTGGGCCCACTGAGATGAAACCCCCTAGATAGTCCAGCTCACTTTGATCTTTCCCTTCTTTAGCTTCTATTGCATAGATAAACCAATCAACTAAAATATCATTTGTGGACAGTGCTCCAAGCCCCATGTTAGATACTGGGGCAAGACCAAGAAGACACCCTCTGCTGTCCAGGAGCTTAGTGATCATTAGCACAGACAGTGCAATGTGTGACTGATCCTCAATTGTTTAACGTGTATTGGTTTTATCTTGCCAACCAGCTTAAAGCACTCAATGAGAGCATCTACACATCATTAAGTCCATCAAATATATCTATTAAATCCATGTTTAGGAAGAATTTAAAACACAGATTAAAGAAATCACTTGCTTCATCAGTTGAAATGATTATCCTTTTAGAATTTCTTTCATTCCAGACATCAAATATTTATGGAATGCTTACTATCATTCAAGGCACTGGGAAGGCCCCAGTGACCACATCAAGTTTTAGACCCAAGAAGATAAAAAAGACGTAAGAAAATCCTTGAACAACTGCATAATTTCCACACCAAAAATAATGACTTGCTAGCAGGCATCTGACACCAGCCACAATTTATTAGAGACTGAAACACTGGCTGTAGTTTTTGTAAATGACTAGACTATATTCTGGTGATAAATTTAAATGACTCCAAAACAACAGCCCGGGCAACTGAATCCAGCTTCTCATGGATGATATTTTCTAGTCGGGAAGAATCACTCCCAGAATGAGTCTTTTAGAGGGCATGGAGGATGATATATGACATTTGCAATGAGAATCTGATAGCTTGTTATACAGTTTATGATACTAGGTCATCTTCATAACACACAGGTACAGGCAGCAATTCATAGTTCCTTTAAAGCAGAACAGACTCATGAAGAGTGCATTTGAGAACACATGCACTTGCTCTTTATTCTTTTAGTACAATTTGACTTCTCTCCTGCAAAGCTGCTCTCTTCTTTGAGAAGATTTATAATGTCAGGAATGCATGTTCAAGGATATATGAATAAATAATAAAGTTCTAAAGGAGCACTTATGTTAATTTATAATGTGCCGTTTGTCGACAATCTGAAAGACATTATTTCAAACAAAGGTAACTAGGGGGATGTTAATAGCCAGTAAATGTATTTATGCTAACTCTTATCCTGAATAAATCACTGCATTGTACAAAGAATTTGTTTCATTTTGGTAGTATTCTTAGTTTGCCACAATTTTCATAATTTACTTTTTAAATCAAAATATCATAGTAGATGCTTTCAGCAAACTTCCAGTTTTAGATATGATGTATACTAAAATATGCTAGACTTTTGGTTTTAGTAAAGGAAACACATGGTTCAGATGTAGTTCCAAATGTTAGTCTAGCATTGCTTTATTTAGTAAGGCTGGCATGCTCCTGGTTGCCAGATAAGTAGAGAACTGTGCAATTATCCAGACACTCTGATCCAGATTTTTTTTTTCTTGCCTACATTGTCTTTCCCCGCCCCCCCTTGGCCACAAGTAATTGAGTTAATTGCCTTGCCCACTCCTTTCACATTGCCTGTGCAGACTCAGTCCAAAGACCAAGGGAAAAAACAAAGTTCCACCAAGCTTCCTTGGGACATCCTTGGCCTTGGCATTGAAAAATTAGGTTTATTGTACAGATATAAAGAAAGATATAATAGTTACATTTCTTGGAAACTTTTTTGAGTCATCTCTACATACACATTTACCAATTTTTCACTCAAGATCAGGAGTAATGCACAATTTAGATAAGTGGCTCTACTTCAGTGGAATGGTCTCAAGTTCAGAGAGAATGGAATTAAACTTTAACTATGTTGTTGTTGTTGTTATGTGCCGTCGAGTAGGACCTGACTCATAGCTATAGGATTCTTCATATATTCACAACTTGAGTGCCTTACTATTTCCTGCAAACATGGTCCTTTGGTTTCTGGCTTGTGGTTGATCCTATTCCGATAGAGAAACTTCCATGGCCTCATGCATGAACAACTAAAATCCCACTGCTTCCTACTCCAATCCTCCAATTCAACTTACCAAACACAGTTAAGTAAATCGCCAACACTGTAGTTTTCATTTACTCTCCTAATCATTACCTAGTGATCCTCCATTTCCTTTGTGATAATATCCAAAATGCTCAACCTGACACACAAGACCTCTGAGACCTTCCCCAACTCATCTCTTCAGCATTCCTCCTGTGTACCCCCTACACGAAGTCTGTATTCTAATCACATGGAACTTCTCCACAATCCTCTCCCTGTCCTGGGCCTTGCTGGGCCTTACCTTCACATGCCTCCTCTAAAGGCCAATTCCTTTCTTCCCACTGATCCAATTCCTCCTGTTCAGTGAGGCATAGCTCTATTCCATCTCCTCCTTTGAGGTATCCCTGAACACTATGGCTCATGGAGTCTTCCCTTGCTATGAGTTGATACTCGCCACTGGCCACCTGATTGTGTCCTGGTCAGTGACAGCTCTTGTGCTGATGTCTTCTTTGGATAATAAACTTTTCACTTGCCAGTGACATGCTTTCTCATAATGGTGGTCAGCACTGAGTATGACACCTCTTTTTATGCTCCATGGCCCTAGCACATATTAGGCACTGATAGAATGTTAGCATGAGAAATTCTGAGCTCTGTTGTGGTTCCTACTCTTCCTGCTACACCTTCACAGTGAGGAATCACTTCATCATTTAGATAACAAGCCAAACTCTGAGAGGCTCAGAGCACTAACAAACAAGGCTTTTGACTTAGAGTTTCCTGGAGTGGCTAAGAATTGTCTGTAGGGTTAAGAGTATCTAGATTAGGCACTGGCTTTGCTATCTACTAGCTGTTATTGAGAAAGTTTATGTAAACTTTCTCTACTTAAGTTTTTGTATAAAATTGGGATACTAAGAGTACCCACAACATATGGTATTTATTTATTTATTGAGCAATTAAATATGATTGCAAGGCAATTAGTGCCTGTCACATAATAAAAAACTCATTGCTGTTGAGTCAATTCTGACTCATAGGGACCCTATAGGACAACGTAGAACTTCTCCATAGGGTTTCCAAGGCAGTACAACTTTACAGAAGCAGACTGCCACATCTTTTTCCCGTGGAGTGGCTGGTGGGTTTGAACCACTGACCTTTCAGTTAGTAGCCAAGCACTTAACATTGTGTCCTGTCACATAATAAGTACCCACTAAATGCTTGCCATTATTATTTTAAACAACATGTCAAAAGAATCCTCTTTCAGGGGGAGTCAGTTGACAGTAGAAGCAGAGAACAGCACTTGAATCATGGATCTGGGGGATAGGTCTCCAGCATCCTGAGCTATCCCATAGGTCTTGGTGTCTCTGGGTATATAAATTATAGAGGTTTGTTCTGGGCCCATTTATTGGAGTGACAAGCATTACTCTACAGAGATGGTCTTATTTTCATTTCCATTTCCCTGCTCCTTGACTCTTTGACATGAGCAATAGCATTAACTTTCTAGGTTGGAGAAAGGCTGCAGCCAAGTCTTTCTAGCTTTAAAGTATGAGAATGAAACTAAGACCAACACAGTCCAGGATGTGGTAGAGATGTGAACAAGAACAAATCAAAATCATGCAGGTGAAACAACCAAAAGATCTAAAAGTCAGACTAGGAAAGAACCTCTAGGTAGTATAGACATTCTTGAGCAATCAGGAACGGAGGTTGAGGCATTTAAAGCAGCACAATATAATCGTGCCTATAGGTTGCTTATCTTTTTTGTATAGATTTGTGCTTAAGTCACTTCTTTACCACATTTATGTGGTTTAAAATATTCCACGTAATGGGCTCCATTTCTCTCAGGCCTGTATCTGACATGGTTGAGGAAGTTCTGTTTCTACCTGTGAGCCTGAACTGCAAGACTTCTAGGCTTTTACCCCTTTTTAGACCGGGGGGTGGGGGGTGGGGAACTTACTTTGCTACTGGACACATATGGGAGAACCCACTGGACCATTTGCCTGTGGGGTGGTGAGTGGTAGTTACCTTAAATTCAGTCTCGATGTTGGCTAGTCTTGCTAACTCGTTGCTTAGCTCCAGTGCAGTGAGGACAGGGTCTTCACTGGACAGAGACAAGTAGGCGGCACTTGCCAGTCCCTTGTAGGCGTTCATGCGGGAGCGTGAGTGGCTGAAGGAATCTTTGCGCTGCTTCTCCGTGCACTCGGCGCACTTGCAGAAGTAATCGTGGGGCCGCTCAATGCGGGCGCCCTTGAGCAGTAGAATGTGCACGATCTCATACTCCTGGCAGTGCGCCGCCAGGATGATGGGAGTGATGTCGTGGGAGAAGCGCGTGCCGTCCTCGTCATAGGCGTAGAAGTCATCGTCCCGCAGCTCCTGCTCCAGCGGGCTGAGCGTTAGGCGCTGGCCCTGCGCGAAGGCCGGGTGGTTCAAAATGGCCTCCACGATGCGCACATAGCCCTTGCTGATGGCCAGCAGCAGCGCGTCCCCCACCCGCGCCAAGTTCTCCTTCTTGAGCAGCAGCTCCGTGACCTCCAGGTGCTCATTGCCCACTGCCAGCTGCAGAGCGTTCTGCCCCATGTAGTCCACGCAGTTGAAGTTCAGGGTCTTGGACTCTTCCAGCATCTTCCTGACCACCGGGATATTGCCATATTCGGCTGAGTCCAAGAAGCGCTCCTCCTCGGGCGTGAGGCTGGTGCCCTTCTCGTTGAACATGTAGGCAGGACCCCGGATGGCCTGGCGGCGGCCCTTCTCCCTCAGCGTTGTGTGACGGCGCTGCATGTTTTTGAAGGTGCTGCTCCCCAACCTGTGGGGCAATAAGGCAGAAATCCTTGGTTATTTTCTGGGGGCGTTGAAGATTTCACAGGTGCAAGGCAATCAAAAGTTGTTGAGAACACATTCAGGATTTAAAAAGAATGCCATGATTGGAAGCTTATGAGAAATTATGAAATCTTATTAGAAGTCATTGTTTTAATCACTGAGATGAAAACAAATTGGATTTTCAAATAGAAGAATATTGACTTAGTTATCAAGCATCTGTTGGGTGAAGGAATGGCAGCAGAGATTAACTGTGGATTTAGGTGGCGTGTTAATGGGAGATAGAGGTGGAGAGTGTGTGGTACAGTTGTGGCTAAAAAGGCAGGCAGCCATTGGTTTCATTCTCATTTATTTCCATTCATGTACATGTAGTAAGTTGCTTAATATATCTGAAGTTTAGATTTTTCACTTGTACTATGTAGATTACATTCTGTGGGCCATAGAGTCTACAAGAGGATTACTCACTGCCGTGGAGTTGGATCCAACTCAGAGTGATCTGTCCTTGGGTTTCCAAGGCAGTATCATTACGGAAGAAGATTGCCCAACCTTCCTTCCGTGGAGTGGCTGGTGGATTTGAACCACCAGCCTTCGAGTTGGCAGTCAAATACCTTGGCACTATACTACCAGAGCTCCTGCAAGAGGATCAAGGGAGGTCATGTGCATGTAGAAGATATTCAGTCAATGTGGGTTTTATTCTGTTCCCTCCCACCTCTTGTTATGCCCAGTGCTTCAAAGGCTATGTCACAGAGAAGGGTACCGCAAATACTGGCTCTCTTTGGTTCAGGTGTATCAACCCCTAATGACCTTCCATGCTATGAGAAAACCACAGTGAAATCCAGGCATAGCCACTCACATCTGTTTTCATGTTCACTGTTATTCTCTATGGGGAATGTGCTTTCTGGCCCCATGCAGTTTAAGCACCTGTTAAACGGCAAGCAAGTGAAAAAGGGGAAGACACTCAACAAGATGGATCGACACAGTGACTACAATGATTGGCTCAAGTATAGCAAGGATTGTGAGGATGGTGCAGAAGTGGGCATTGTTTTGTTCTGTTGTATATAGGGTCACTGTGAGGTGGAACTGACTCAGCAGAACCTAACAACAAGAAGAAAGGGCAAGATGTGGCTGGGAGCAGGCCTTGAATCATTGCCACTTGCTGATGGCCATGGAAGCAGCCCTCCTGAGGAAATTCAGCCATAACCTTTAAGATTGAACCTGGATTTTTATATGGATGGAAGAAACAGGTCATTTTTTCATGGTAGGTTCACATCTAACTTGTTACCCTTTTGCTTTGTGGCACAGTATAATGGTTAATATTAATATTAATGTTAATAGTATTAATAATAGCAGTTAACATTTTTTGAGCACCTGTTATATTCCAGACACTATACTAAAAGCTTTATGTACATTAACATGTATAATCCTTGCAACAACCCTATAAATAGGTACAATTATTATCTTCATCTCATATGAAGATCAAAGACTACAACCTTCAGTATGGATTACGGCTCCACATAAAAAGAAAAAAAAAAAATCCTCACAACTGGACCATTAAGCAACATCATGATAAATGAAGAAAAGACGGACATTGTCAAGAGTTTTATTTTACTTGGGGATCCACAATCAATGCTCCTGGGAGCAGCAGTCAAGAAATCAAACCATTATTACATTGGGCAAATCTACTGCAAAAGACTTCTTTAAAATGTTAAAAAGCGAAGATATCACTTTGAAGACCAAAGTGTCTGATCCAAACTGGTATTTTCAGTTGCCTCATATACATGTGAAAGCTGGACAATGAATAAGGAAGGCTGAAGAAGAATTGATACATTTGAATTATAGTGTTGCCAGAGAATATTGAATATACCATGCACTGCCAGAAGAGTGAACATATCTGTCTTGGAAGAAGTACAGCCAGAATGCTCCATAAAAGTAAGGAAGGCAAGACTTCATCTCACATACATTGGGCATATTATCATGAAAGCACAGTCCCTCAAGAAGGACACATGCTTGGCAAATTAAAGGGTCAATGAAAAAAAGGTGGACGGCCAATGAGATTGATTGACACAACGCTTGCAACAATAGGTTCAAACAGCAATGACTATGAGGATGGTGTAAGTCTGGGCAGTGTTGCTAATGCTCAACAGCATCTAAGGCAACATGAAGAGACAGTTTTTGAAGTGAGGACATTTAGGGTAGGAATCCTGGCTCCACCTCTACCAGCTTTGTGGCTTTTGACAAGTTACTTAATCTTCAGTTTGCTAAGGTTTTAAAATGACTTTTAAGAGACAAGAGAAAATAATAGCTTTAGCATAATTTGAATTTGAGCTGGGGTAGTCCTTTTCAACTAGGCTTGTGAACTTGAGCAAGTTCCCAGCCTCTAGGTCTCAGATATTTTAACTATAAAATAAAGGGCTAGACCAGATGCTCCCTAAACCTACCAACTCCAACATGTTAAACTCTGATTCTCTAATTGATCCTATCTGAATTTTTCTATTATCCTCTTCTAGTCAACCCCCACATACATTATTCATATAATATTGGAATGGAATCAATCTTAACAAGACAGTATTTGTTCTAAAGAGTAAGTACTTGGGGTTGTTTTGAACTGTCTTCCACATTCCAGAGAATTGTCTTTGTGTTATTGGTCATGTCTCCATACATAAAGATTACTCATCATTTCACTCAAACCATTTTATTAAGTAAACAAAAGTAATCACAGAGGAAATAATTTAAATTAAACTGAGTGTTTTGAGATTTAAAAAGATAGTAACATTTAATCTCCTGCCTATCTGAATTTTCAGCTCTATTTAATTTTTTACTTATTTTACTGTTTGACCTCAAATTCCTTTGGGGGACCCTAGCTCTGGTGGCACAGTGGTTAAGGCATTCAGATGCTAATCAAAATGTCGATGGTTTGAACCAACAGCCAATCAGCAGGAGAAAGGTGAGGCAGTCAGCTTCTGTGAAGATTCACAGCCTTGAAAACCCTGCAGGAGTCGCTATGGGTTAGAATCAATTCAGTGGCAACGAGTTTCTATCTCTGGTATAAAGCAGAGCCTGGAGATCAGAGCTTGGACTCTAATGCTCCTGTGGTTGAGCCGCACTTCCCTTGAGGTTGGGCGTGGGCGGAAACTGCTAACTATTCAGTAGAGCAGCTCTTTCATCTGCAATAAATAAATAAAAGGAATAATTGTGGGCAACTCCCTCAAAAGACAATCATGGCTGATAAATCCCTAGCAGAGAGTTCTGCGCTTCTTTATGAACAGCATTGAACTACCATCCACTTTTCTAAAGTGTACTTTGATAAAAGAATTCTGGGGAAAAGATTCTCAGGATTCAAGCTCACAAGCTCCTTCTGAGCTCATTTCTCTCAACAAAGCAATCATCCCAGGGAGAGTGACTGCTCATTGATGCTGAAGGCAGACTGCACGTTGGGAGTACAGTAGAGACCTTTGCAAGAAAGAGGAACTCATAAATATGGTGCAAGCATTTATTATCATAGGGATTTCAGAAGGAAAGGAGGTGACTGAATTAAAAGCTAAGCAGTCACCCTGTTTATGTTCCCCAAAGACCTTGTTTGAGGGGCTGTAATGTGATATGAAACTCAGTTTCAACACCTGTCATAAGAGCACACCCACAAAGGTGAGTGTTGAGCCCACAAAATACTAATAATCTTTTCTCAGGGAATTACTTGGCCTGTCTTATTATAAGGCTTCTATCCCTGTCAGGAAAAACTCTCTGGGCTTAGCCATCAAAACTGAACCTGAGCAACAGTAGTTTCCACTCAAGAGGATCTGAACAATGTATCAGAGATGAAATGGCATCTGTCCTGGAAGAAGCAGGAGCTATAGCTTGATTCCACATCACTTTTCCATTACAACTCTGCTCAAGAGGGAGAATACATCAAACTTCAAGGTCAAGAATACACAACTATTACACAGCAACAAGCCATGGAGATATTAATTCAAAGGAAATATAATCACTACCAAACCATCTGAAAGCAGAGAAATATTTCACAAGGAACATATAAGTACCCAATCTAAATTCAGGGTCCATCTGAAGTTTACACACTGAAAGAATGTTCAGGCATCATTTCTTAAATTTTATTCATTTATTAAAAAAATCATGAAAAAACAGGATATTCACATTTTCAAGTTTTAGCTGGAGAAATTGAGGTAGGTGAAGCAAAAAGACTAAATTTTAGGGTAATTTCTGCACAAGGGTAAGGCATTAAATAAATATTGATATGCTATCCAAGAAATTGTTTTTTCTTCTCAAAGGAAAAAAAAATCTATGTCTATAGCTAGAAGTTGACAGAAGTCAAAATGTCCTTATATTTGACATGCATTTTTTTCTGTATGACTTTGAAAGCAATCACCCAGATGTAATAAGATACAAACAAGCTCCCCTTTTCCCAGTCTTTAAAACTTCAGCTTGAAACATTCATTTGAATGCTCACTAAATTGTCATTTTCTTTCCTAGAGAATCTAGCACTGATGGAAGTTCATGGGGCTTAAAGTCATGTATGCACAGCAGGATATAGTGAGAAATGTTTGCAGTCCCAGGGGTTTGATAACAAACCCTGGAACCACAAGACTGGTTCTAATATCGGCAGAAGCCCTCTAACCTCACTGTGGGCTTCTTATTAATTATGACTCCTTACTCTGATATCCTCTAATGATGCCTTTAAAACATTTATACATCTATGAATATATTCAGCCACCATATCCTTGCCATTTAATATTGATATAATAGATATACTGGATACTCGTGCTTTAGCCATACATATCACATGGGTTGATGTCAGAAAGATAAAGCCATTAGGTCCACAACAGCTGGTGACCAAAACTCACATTCATGACATATCAGACATGTTACTCTGCTGGGTTCAGGTGATGTTATCACAGTTTTAGGGCCAATAATGAGAAAAATTACTCCCCATAAAATCCAATTGGTATTTTATTGCCCATGCTGTAATACTTTTCTTAAAACTGAATTTTGAATGCAAATGCCTATTTATTTGCATATATTATCAAGATAAAGAGTGATCAAACTCATCAAACACCTCGATTAAGATAATGTGGTTTTCATTATCCAGAAATACATGTATTGACATTTGATGTCATTGAGAAGAAGGGTTCTAGTGGAAACAAAACATATTTGAGAGGAGGACTGATTATTAAACTTCCTCTTGATCCCTCAGTTGCTATTTTTATCAAGCTGGTTTTACAGATGCATCATCCAGTCTGAAGGAAGACAGATGTCAGTGATCCATGAAAAGTATGAATTCTATATCCTAAGTCCAGCTGCAAATGAGATGTCTATAAAGCCTTTTGGAGACAGGGATTGCATTTAGTTACAGATAAAGAAAAGTTCACTTAAATCAAAATGTCTTTTTAGAGATAATTGTTATATTTTTTCTAAAATTTACACATGCACAAGAGATCCATGTTGAAATTACCCAAGCCTGAAGCCAATTCAATTTGTAATATATAACTGGACATAGAACCAAACATAATCCAAGAGTCAAGCCTGACACTTTGGAAAATTTAGCTACTCGTCTGTGCATGTTCTCCCAAGTGTACATATTCTGAATTATAGTCTAGACAAACAGTGATGAAATAGCCAAGTGATCTGGAGTCTTCTTCTATATCTCATTTCTCTCACTAATAGAGAATAAGGATATATACCACCTATTCCTCTCAGGATCACAGAAAGGATTAAATGATGTGAACCAAATGCCCTGATACTATAAAACCTTATTCAACTGTGCATGCCAATGATGATCAGACCCTTACATATCAATATACTTAAATAAATGATTACTAAAATTGGCTCACATTTTGCTCAACATGGATAAATTCAGATTTGTTATTTCTCTATAAGATTATATAATAATAATAGCCTATATTACCATGGGCCAGAAACTGCTAAGAGCTTTGTGTACATTATCATTTTAAATTCACACAAATCATCATATGATGAGTGTAGCCATTTTCCTAAATGACTATTTAATCATAACGATTACCATTTATTACAAATTAACCACGTACCAGGCACCATGCTGAGTAGTTTACATGAAATTATTTTAAATGCTCACAAATTAATACATGATAGAGGTTCCATAATCATTCCCATTTAACAGATGGTGAATTGAGGCTCAGAAAAAGTAACCACTTTTACCAAAACTACATGACTTGGATCAGGGTGGGGTGGTGGTGGTTGGAGAGAGCTACTATTAGGAATCCAGTCTGTCTGATTTCAGAACCTATGTTTCTTTAACTGGTACATTGTTGACATTCATCTTCCTCTTGCATTTTTTTCCAAGCTTCTTTAGACTGTAAGTGTATCCATTGCAGTGGAGGATCCTTGAGGGCAGGAGCATTACTTGTTTATGTGGTTTATGCACCAGGTGCCCAGCACCATTGCTGTCTGGCAGGTGGCCAAGTAACTGAACCAATTCTTAAGTACTTAATCTTGGTTGGTCTTTAAAGAACACCAATAAAATTGAGATGTTAATGCTTACCAATGTCTTCCTCATTACAAATGCAAGAGCCATATGACCCTATAACTACTATTTTCTATTTTTAACTCTGACAACTTTTTAAATAAGGCATAAGTCCCAAAGCAATATCAGTTTCCAAGTAGCTATGCTACAAACAGTTGCACAAGTGTTAGATAAAATAGCTGCTATCAGAGAATGTAATGTCTTTTAAGTAATAGAGGCAGAAAATTTAGACATTACTACTTCTTCATAATCCTCCTGAATAATTTTACATATTTCCAAAGGCACGCAATTTATTTCTAAGTTTCACCTTCCTTATTCTGTTGAATTTGAGGTGACATAGTGCATGTAAATTACTTATTAGTGCCTAAAATATAGCATGTGCTCTATCAACATTGGATGTTATTAACTATATTTTAGTCCATTTCAATTATAATAATTCTGCATTAACTTTTCCTAAGATAGTGACAATAATTGGTTTGTACAACATGTATTTTTAATAAAAGGAAAAAAATCCACTTATTCACCCCATGACATACATGAGTTCATATACCTTATAGTCAAATCCTACAGGAAAAACACAAAGTATGTCTTTGCTATTTATTATTTATTATAATCCACTATTTTAGGATATGCTTTCCAACCAATTCTGCTAATATCAGATATTTCCCCATTGCATCTTAGATTGAAAAATACTGTCTGGTGTTACCCAGTGCTAATAAATTATTCTAGAAATGATTTTTTTTCTTTTACAAAATAACATGATTAAACAAGAGGTTTTTCTCAGCATTTCACACTGTTTTATGTATTAGCCATCAAAACATAACTAGTGCTTCGTGTTGTGCTTCTCCAATTCATTTTACTTTTAAAATCCTTATTTTCTATTTGGTATTGGGGAATGAAATAAGATGTCTATATCTCATTGCTTATTGCTCCAGAAAGAGCTTGAACAACATGCTCTTAGAGTCACATAATTTTTTTCCCAAACATTTTTCTTGGAAAAATGGATTTGTGCAACTTTTTTTTGTGGCTTCATTGACCCATGTCAAAAGAGTTGAAATGAACCTATACTACCAAGAAAGTAAGAGAGATCCTTAAATCATGAAATGGCAATACTGGGAAAAGTAACATTCTGGATATTTATTTGTGGGGAATATTTACTGCTCTTACTAAGCAAGAGCTCCTGGCAGGTCTCATCAAAGGAACCACGTGCATTCTGCTATTGGCCTCAATGAGCCTCCACATAGTTATGATTTTTTTTCTGGGTTAATTACTGCCTAAAGGAATTAGCTTTTTTTTTTTTTAAATCTACATACCCCTAAACTTAGGAACAAGTGAATTTACAAATAAATGTTTATGAAACTGTAATTGTGACATAGACTCTTGATAAGCTGTTAAATAATTGAAACAATGTCATTGTTAAAACGATCTTAGAGAGTGGGTTTGAATCATAGTCATAATGAATATTCTGTACTTTATATGAGTTCATTCATAAATCTGATAATTGTGCCCAATGTTTCAGAAATAGGACCCACCAGCAGGTGGCATTCTGAGGCAAAAATTCCCTGAGCCCCACCAGACAGGGTCAATCATTACTGCCTCTTTCAAATCTATCCTGAATCCATTAAGCCTTTAAATTACAATTTATGGCAATAGCATCCTGATTGTGTCTACTCAATCATACATAAGTGAATTTATAACTTCAACTTAAAATGAAAATTTTATGTGTGGGAGTTGCAAAGCTTGTGTGACAAACCCTGCCCATATTACATCTCTTTTATTAGCAGCATATTCATTATTTTGAAATAGATATCTAAAAGAGACATATGGCTCAGACCATACTTTCAACAAAGAAAGAAAAGAAAATAGAAACATCTTTCTTCCTGCCACCTGTAGTTCTTTAATGGTGAGGACTTATTTAAAATTTAGTCCTCTTATTCTTTTAACCCCCAAATTTATATTAAAATAATAGTAATAATAAAAACCCTCCACATTGAAAAGCTGTCAGTAGTGAAGTAGGAGACGAGACAATGCACATACTCTCTTCTAGGAATAAAACTACACTTCATCACAAAAGGACTGGGCTACAAGAATGAGTTTTATATTTCTAAATAGCTTTGAAAACTTAGACTTTCAATAAAAAGTGAAAACAAGCACGAAAAATTAAATAACCGAATCTCTCTACCAATCCAATAAATAAGATTTCAGGGCCAGATTTAGATCTAAAAATTCAAGCAATGTGATAAAGTTTAATTTCATATTTTAGGAATAAAGAAAGCTCTACCAGGAAAAGATCAGTATGAAAAAATCATCATAGCTTACATTGAGAGTAAAATACGCAGACTTGTCCCTCCTCTAGCTGACCGGAATCCGGCGCTGAGTCGCGGGAATCTGGCTCCCCATGGGTGGTAGGAAAGGAGGTGCTGCTCTCCGTGGTGCTGAAGTGAAGAACTGGCCGAGTGACTGGAGTTGAGAGGCTGTGGAAGCGCGCTTTGCTGCCCTTTGTGTGGCAATGATAAAGACTCTCTTTCCAGGGCAGACCTATGTTATCGTTCCTTTCCTAATTTTGGGGAAATTTCCCAGGGAATATGACGAAGAAGCATCCGTATGTGAGACTGGCATGAGGCGTGGTGATGAGTTGGTATAGTCCCCACCCCCTCTTCCAGACAGTAGCTTTGAAAAGGAGGTTACCATAGCCCCTCAGAATTTCTACCTGGCCCCTCCCCTGCCCTAGAACAGTGCATCACACACACACACACATACACACACACGCACACACATGCACACACACACACCCCTCAGTTATATAAGGAAGCAAGTTTCTAGCTCGAGGCAGAATATTCATCAGTTTAAACAGAAGAAAAATGAGGAATGAGCTGGCTTCCTACCTGTTGTATATGTATGTGTTTACAGAGAGGGGAAAGTTGAGGAAAAAACTAAAATCAGAGAAACTTGAAGAATGACAGAAGTAATTTCTTTTAATAAGCCTTATGTCCACATTCCACTTTGTGTCCTGTGATTGTTTTCAAACTTTGCTCTCTTGTTTCATGACCCTTTAGCATTAGCTAGGATCAAGAAGAGGCCATTGGTGTAGATCAAGTCTGAGGTTAGTATCAGGACTTTAAAAAGATTAGTTTCAGTTTGTAACTTTCCCTTTTTGTGAAAGGAAATACCCAATGAAAAAACCCATTTTCTCCACAGTCCCTACCCTGAACAATTTTTATATTACCAAATGATATATAAATCTCAAACAGTAAGGAATTTTGATGGTTTCACTGGAAAGAAACATCCTTAACTGAAATACTGCTTGTGTAAGAAAACCAGGGTTGTTCCCAGAATCTACGATAAATCAGAGTGCTTATTCTTTAAAACCAAATCATGGATTAATAACTGATACTCTGTAAAAGACTGTCTTTGTGTGCAAATGCAATGCTTAGGATTAAGGATTGACTTATAATATAAATTTGTTGTTGTTGTTGTTGTTATGTGCCATCAAGTCAGACCTGACTCATAGCGACACCTCCTTGGGTTTCTGAGGCAGTATCACTACAGAAGTAGATTGCCCAACCTTCCTTCTGAGGAGTGGCTGGTAGGTTTGAACCATCAGCCTT